TATGCATCAAAAGAAATTACATAAAAGGTAACATTCACGTAATGTGTTCTTCCATGCTACCCGAAAAAATAAATAAATAAATAAATAAATACAGAATTCAATGCCTATTCTAAGCTACGCTATTAATTCCAGCAGAGAAGCCTTGTACTTCTTTTTAAAGTTTACCAGTGAACCTGAAATCATAAATTCATACACCTCTGTATTAAGTAGTTGTACCGCTCGGTAAGAAAATGAGTTTTTAAAACCTTCGGTTATGTGCCGTGGTATTTGAAATCGTATAATGTTTCTCAGACAGCGACTGTGTAGGTCTTGTCTTACTATAAGATATTCTGGTAACCAGATTGAAAAATTTTATAAACGAATTGACCAAAGTGCAAGGCTGCTCGCTGTTCATATTTTAGTATCTTATTTTCTACATAATTTGGCGTAATATGATCAAATTTTCTAATGCTAAAAATAAATCTCATACAAGCATTTTGAGCTAACTGAATTTTGTTTTTAAATTCAACATGCAGGTAGTTATAGAAGACAACATTGCAATAGTCCAACTGTGACCAAATAAGAGTCTCCACTAACATCAATTTAATGTTGCGAGGTAAATTATCCTTAAACGGGTACAAACTCTTAAGTACAGCATAAACACATGACAATTTTCTGTTGACGTGCACCTGAAAGTTAAGACTTTCGTCGAAAGTCACACCCAGATTTCTTGCTGATTCTGAGTTAGGTAGAGTAGTACCGTTTATGTGCAATGTAGTGAAATTAAAACGCAAAAATTGACTTCTGCCGGCATTAGAGCCCATAATCATATATGTGCTCTTACTAGCATTTAGAACCAACCCATGTTGACTTGACCATATAAATATCGAGTCTAAGTCGTCATTTATTCTCTGCATACACACACAGGCATCCTGAGGAGCAAAACCTAACAGGAGCTGCGTGTCATCGGCATAGAGATTGATGGAGCAAAACCGAACTTGCTTTGGAAGATCGCTAGTATAAATGCTAAATAATAATGGCCCAAGTACACTTCCCTGAGGGACTCCATAACCAGTTGTAACAGGCTCAGATCTTGCTCCATCAAGCTCAACCACCTGTGTTCTAAGTAGAAGGTAGTTCTTGAACCATTTGCAGACAGCCTCTGAAAAACCATAGAACCTCATTTTAGCCACAAGCATGTCGTGATGTATAAGATCGAAAGACTTACTATAGTCTAGCAGTGCTAGACAAGAAACCCTTGATGAGTCAATATTAGTTGATACTTCAGAAGACACTTTTGTAAGGGCGGTAGCAGTTCCATGATTTTTCCTAAAGCCAGACTGCACAGCTGGTATAATATTATTGGTATTTACAAATTCAAGCAGCATATCAGACACTAGTACTTCGAACATTTTGGCAAATATTGGTAAGAGACAGATTGGCCTTGGTTCAGAAAAATTTTCTATTTTATTTTTCTTTGGCAAAGGCTTAACAATGGCGCTCTTCCACATTTTTGGAAATTCCCCCATTTGTAAGGATATATTGAATAGCTTAGCTAGAAACGGAGCAATACAATCAATGCTAAAAAGAACAAGATTGTAACTTATTTGGTCTATACCCATACTTTTAGATTTAATTCTTTTAAATGCCTTATAAATATCATATTCTGAAATATTTTTAAAAATAAGCTCACCATTGTTAAGGCTCTCCAGCCTATTGCCCTGATAAAAATTCATTAGTAAATTGTCTATCGGAGTAGCTAATTGACATACACTCGCAAAAGAGTTACTGATTTGGTCCACATCTTTCAAATGAATAGGTATTTCACTGTTTTTATTAACCTTGATATTCCAATCATTGATCCTATTCCAAATTTTCTTTGTATCTTTTTTATGTTTATGAAGTTCAAATGACATGTACGCTTTCTTTTCACTTCTAATTGCAAAAGAAAGATAGTTTTTAATGTCCAGATAAAAGTGCTTGTGTTCAATTTGACCAGTTTTTTTAAATTTATTGAATGCTGTTTTCTTTAATTTAATAATTTGCCTAATAGTGTCAGTAATGTAAGGTTTATACTTTTTTTTAATAACTGCTTTTTTTGTTGGGGCATGTTTATTGAAGATGCCAGCCAGCTCGTTACTGAAACAAGCTACCTTGTCATCCAACATTTCATGGCCCAAAATAAATTCATAATTTATGTCCTGTATCTCTAATTCAAATTGCCTCCTATCAAAGTGCTTTAAATCTCTATAAGATATAACCTTATCATCTATTTTGGGAGCTTTGATGCTAATTGAAGAGTACACAAGTCTATGATCAGTTAGGTTAAGCATGCCCAATGTTCCTGACTCAATAACACTGACACCCTGATTGACACAAATAATATCAATTAGAGTTGCACTATTTCTACTTATTCTAGTGGGTTCAGAGATGACTCGTTTCAAATTATAAATTTCTAACACTGATTCCATATAATCAGAGTCAGCAGTTTTAGTAAGAAAGCTTATATTTAAATCACCCATTAAAATTGTGTAGTCATATGATGAGGACAAGCTAGATAAAATATTCTCTAAACTAGATAGGTAGTTATAGTTGACCAGTGGGGGTTTATACAAAGTACCAACTAAAAAAGACTTATTTTTATAGTTGATATCCACCCATAGTTGTTCAACTTTATTGTCACAGTTTTTAGCACCATTTTCATTCCCTTTTAGCATGACACATTTTAAACAGTCAACAACATACAAACATACACCACCACCCCTCGACTCTCTATCTGCCCTATATAAGTTATACTTAGGGATACTGACCAGATTGTCAGGGTATGTTGATGTTAGCCATGATTCAGTTACACCAAATAAATGAAATTTTTCATGCTGTAACATTGCAGACACATCAGAGAAAGAAGGAGTAAGCGATCTTATGTTTACATGACCTACATATAAGTTATCATTTGTATCTGTATTTTTTGACACTTTTTGAGTTCCATTATCTATATTATTTATAAAAAATCACCACCTCTATTTAGACCTAGTTCACCACTCATACTGTCTAAAAAGTCCCTATGTTTATTAAAATTAAACCTACTAACCCCTACATACTTTGGCCAAAACCCACTATCATACATATAGTCTTTTTTGTCCATTGGGCCTACCACCAAGAAGTTTTTTAATCTATGTTCTTCTGTGGGAATCTCCTTTACAAACAAGGTAATATTTCCAAACCCATTCTTATTACGAATATAATTCGTGATAACTTCCTCTGTAGCAGCGCGTTTCACCCTGTTGATGTAGAGCCAAACTCTTCGATCTCCACCTTCAAAGTGTTGATCATTTTCACCTGTGCCTAGATTTTTCTTTTTCCTATTCCTTCTTTGGACTGGAATAAACTCATTATCAGAGCTTTCATCACTCTGGTTTCCACTTCCATTACTCATTGATACTTTTAGTGATCTTTTAAATTGCCCGCTCTGGCCTCTTACAGTATTGCCATTATTTGAAACTCCTTGCCTTTGCTTCGTTGACATCGATCCCGTAGCCACATCTCTATATGATGACACGGCACTATTTGAAGGTCCCTGGCCTCGATTCGTCGATATCAATCCCGACGCCACATCTCTATATGATGACACCTGTTTGACATCGGCGACAGCGGGGATGTCGGATTCTGTCGATCCACCTTTGTTTTTATTTACATTTCTTACAGTTTCCAGATTTATAATTTTCTCACACAGTAATCCGTTATTTTGTTTCAAAACGTTGTTTTTGTCTGACATTTCCTCAAGCATTTTCTTAAGGTACCCAATTTCTAAGGACATCTTCTCCATTTCCACTTTCTTAACGGCATTTGTACTTACGTTTCCCTCGTCTCCAGCTGTCAAATTAACTGGCTCCGAGCAACACACAATTTTTGTTTTATCTATTACTTTGATAATACTACCCATCCGCTTCACACAACTATTATGATAGATTGAATAACAGTTTATACATACGCATACACTGCAACTTTTTTTAGCACAGCATTTAAACCCCGTATTTTTCGCATCGATTGCACTGGCATCAGAAATCGCCGTCAGACTCGCCCGCCATCTTTTTTCTTACTTTTCTTACATCCCCGCTACATCCCTGATAATTCCTATAAATCCGAACTACATCCTGGGTACATCCACGGTAAATCCGGTAAATCCGAAGTAATTCCTATACATCACCATACATCCTAAGATTTTTAAAGACCTCCCTGTACATCCCCAGGAAATCCTCATAAATCCTTGTGTGTGTACACCATAAATCCCCATGTGTTCCACCCCTCGGAAAAATCACTCACTAAAAAATTCTGGAAAATTGACTTATTTAAGCAAAATTAAGGAAAATTCACCCTCTTACATTTTAATTTTTTTCTTGAAAACTGGCAAAGGGAAAATTTTGAAAATTTTCTAGGAAAAAGAGAAAAGTGAGGAGCTTCTTATAGGGAAATTTCGAAATTTTTCGGTGAAAAATCACTCTAGGAAAAATTCTGGAAAATTGACTTTTTCAAGTAAAATTAATTCATTCTTTCGCATTTCAATTTTTTTCTGGAAAACTGGCAAAGTAAAAATTGTGCAATTTTTCCAGGAGAAAGACGAAAGTGAGGAGCTCATTAGAGGAAAATTTCAAAATTTTCCAGTGAAAAATCACTCCAGGAGAAATTTATTTATATATTTTTGGATAACTGAATAAACTCTATTCTAAGTTAAAAAATGTATTACAAAACAATAATTCCGAAGGTTCTCTATGAATTAATCTATGATTTAACTTTTTCTCTAAGTTATGACGATCGATGACGTAAGTACAAACCCTCGTGATTTTTTTTATGCGTCTCATTTTCTTTCCATCAAACCCCGTCAAAAAAAAAAATATATATATATATAAATAAATAAATGCAGTCTCCCTCAAATTTGGAGCCTAGTTGCGCTTATAGAACGGTTCTCATATCGCTTGGAACAGAGCTTGCTTAAGTGTATAAAATACATAAAAATCACTTACTCTTATTGGCTATCGTCTGATTCCGGCTACCACAATTACTCACTTCCCGATACTGGACTTTGAAAAACAAAATTTCCAATCCATTATTACTAGACACATTCCAACGTACCACCACTGTAAAATCATTAACTCTGGAAATCACTGGTTTACTAGGCGGAATCATTTTTTGCGGTTTATGCTTTGATGGTCTTCTAGTATTTTGAGATTTCCTATTAAAAAAAAAAAAACTTCCTGTATATCCTTTTTCCAGTTTGTAGTCCAAAGGTGCAGGTAAATTTATCACTTTTCCCTATCAAATAGCATTGAAAGGTGATAAATTTTACCTGTACCTTTGGACTACAGATTGTAAATAAATATTATAACTAATCAATCAATCAATCAGTTACTTACTTATGATTATGTCTCGGATGTGGATGCACAGGCACAGGAAGATCATCAATACTACTAGCCAAAGGAATCACCCGTATACTGATACTACTATAAACAGTTTTAACAATATTTCTGGCGAAAATCTGCAAACTGCCAGCATGTCTTTTCTCAATGGGCCTAAAGTAAATCTTATTGCCAATAGCCTCAATTCCGGTATCATTCAAAACTGAAAACCCATTTAAAAACCAAGCAATTTGCGGCTCAGGGGTGCCTCTAACATCACAGTCAATATCCATATTTTCTCCTTGTTTAATATCAGTCATGTTCATGTAACAATCAATAGTTGGTTCTTCGTTGTATTTTACAGTAATTTGATGGTTGATGGTGCCATAAGGGTTTGAGTATTCGCACTTGTAAAGGCCATCATCTCTTGAGGTGATGTTTTTGATTATTAGGCCTCCGGGTAGGATTTGGGTGCGGTCTGATGGTAGGCGAGGGTCTTTGCGCCACGATACTTTTGGGATTGGGTTGCCGACTGCTGAACATTCGATGAACAAGGTGGAACCTGGAATAAAATTGTTGATTGTTGTAAAGCTGTAGTTGGGTTTCAAGATATTTGACATTTACCAAATAGTAGAAATGAAACAATTCTTGCACTGTAAAGTAAGTCAAGAGAATAATCTAAAAGTAGACAAATTTTTGATTGATGGATTCTTCTAGAATGTGTGACTACCCGGTAAACACAGCTGTGACTGTTTTTTACCAGCATTGTTTGATGTCAAGTTTATGTAAATACTACACAAAATTTGTTTTAAAAATGTTTGTAAAATATTTGGAATGGCTGGAATCCAGCAAAGACTTACAATGGAATCGTATTCTTAAGGCGGGCACAGACAAGCGGTATTTGGTAAGTCTCAAAACACGAATATTTGCTTTTCGGCAAGTAGCGATTAGTGTGTATGGGATGCTCGGGCAAAAATTCGCTATAATTGCCCGAGCAACCCATACACACTAATCGCTACTTGCCGAATAGCAAATATTTCTGATTCGAGACATATACATTAAGATCGGATTGAAATTAACAAAATTGAGGCAAAAGGTGTCATTTTGGAAAGAATCATAGTCAAAAGACTTTGTAGCTGAAAAACTATTGAAGTTGCATAAAAATCGTTTGGAGAAGATTTGTAGAGAATTCAATAAGCTTTAATTGAAGGCTAATTACGTTCAGACCGGATTGAAATTAATAAAGTTCTCAGATAAAATGTGTGTTGATGTCATTTTGGAAAAGTTCCAATTTACAAAAAACAACATCGAGATGTCTTATAAAACCAAGTGAAAAATTCAATGTTTTAAGTCCAAATTATCAAGGAAAAATCAAATTTTCATCAGTTTTGAGTCCTTTTAACCCCATTGAGAAACTTATAACTATGCTAAAAAATTTCTTTTATTTCAGATTTTGAGATTTCAATCCAGTTCCAAACCCTTCGGGCACGCCATAAGTTCAGTTGGTCCATAATTTGGCCCTAAATGTTTGATTTTTATAAATGTAGCCTGCAACTTGTCTAGAACTAATCGAAAGCCAGTAATAGATAAAATTATGATTGATTTTTAGAATGGAACTGCAGTAAATCTTTCAAAAATATGTAGTTTTAACGTAAAAAATGATATTTTAAATTAGGAAATTATAATTAGAAAATACCTACGAGAGCCTGAAATAGGAAAATTATGCGTCCAGCAACTTTCAATTTCTCCGTCTCACTTTTTGTCTATTCCTGGCTCTTGAATTGAAGCCTAATTATGTCAAGATTGGATTAAAATTAACAAAGTTGTGAGACAAAATGTGTGTTTGTGTCATTATTGGCTTTGTCTTATTTCATGAACTTTTTTAAACTGCTCAATTGAGACTCTAAATGTAGTGAGTTATACTTCTCCAATTTGATTTGATATTGGTAAAATGGGAACAGAGTTTTCGTGCTTATTTAGCTTAAAGTTTAGCTCTAGAAAACATGAGCCTAGAACAATCAGAACTTGCTCCAATTTTTAGAAATATTTATGTATTTTTATTTGAGTTTGATTGGTTGAGTCCACAGCTTTTTGAGGCTCAAATACATGTTGTAATGGGCAAAACTTGCACCAATTATAAAATCACTGTAAATAAATTTTTAAAAGATTTCAACCATCCGCTTCCACTGATTGATGACATTTTTGTAGTTCTTCAAGGGAGTCAAAAATTCACAAAATTAGATTTTCTCAATGCCTATAATCAATAATTAGTTTTAGACAATGCAACGAGTGAGTTATTAGCCTGGAGATTACCATTTGGTACAAAGCCCGCATGCGCTATTTTTCAAAATATTGTGGAAAAAATTCTACAAGGATGTGCAGGGTAGGGTTGCCAGATACTTGACTTTTGAAAATAGGAGAGGCTGTATGAAATTATATGAGATGGGATAATAATATATGAGAATATTTTATGTATTGCAAAATACCCAAATCCGAAGAACGCTCATATCTTGAAAATTAGCTATGATTTTTAGCAGACTTTGGAATGTATTCCTGGACATTCTATCAGGTAGTTGAATACTTCTCCTGATCCGTCAGCCTCATTTCTTGTAACAAGGTAAGGACAACAACTTGAGTTTTTTGATGTTTAAACAAATCCCTGACCTAAAATTGGTTTGTTTTTTTGAACAACATATGCATGAGACTCCGGCCGCTATCAAGTGTATGGTAGTGATATACATGGTTTCTTTTTTTTTTATGAAAATATAATCGATTATTCCACTCATGTGTTAGAAATCCCATAAGACAAGTGACGATTTTCAGAATTACAACGAAAATTCTCTTTTCCATTTGTTTAACTAGAGTTACAGCGATAATTCTCCCATGTTATTGTATACATGGTTGTTATGCTAATTTTTGATACAAACAAACGATTCCTGATATCAACCATTTATTTGTATTGATTGTTAAGATGTTCAAATCGTTTAATACATATTTACTTCCATATTTTTTGCATTCTCATACGTGAAATAATCCTCTAAATACCACTTGAGCTTTAAAATGAACCAGATAATTTTTCACTCATGCGTGTTTTCTCTGCAAATGCAATTATAGAAAACACGCAATCGTGAAAAATTGTCGGTAATTTTGAAGCTCTCGTGGTATTATTCCCGAAAATATATGAGAAATAGTCTCATATTAAGCATGCTAATATGAGATATGAGAAACAGCTAAAATATACGAGCTCATATTGAAAATAGGAGGTCTGGTAACCCTAGTGCAGGGACCATAAATTTTTTAGATGATGTGGTTTAGTGTTATCAAAGAATATTATAGACTAACGTCTCTAGAAGAACCGTCCGGCGGCGAAAATATAAACCTGCGTGATGGCGCTAGTGTCCTAGTAAAATCAGTCGTTTCTGCGATTAAATTAATTTGAGGCACTAAATGCATGCGTATTTGCTAGGCTGCGTTGCCAAGTTGTCTTTTGTATAACAAATTAAATGCCTTTGTGTTTTATATAGGTACTTATTATACATATACTTACCATAGAATAGGAATATTTTATAATTTAAAAAAAATAATAAATAGGTAAATAGTTATGTATTTTTGTGGGTAGTAATTTTCTGTTACTAATAAATAGAGGAATAAAACACAAAAATTGTTTCTATCTGTCTGTCTGTGTGTCTACCTATGCCCGTTATAGACTTTGAAACTATCCGATCGATGTGCCTTAAACCAGTTTAATGTTTAATATGAAAGGCAATAATAATAAGAAGGTTTTAGACCGCTAATGACAGCTGTCAACTGTCAAATTGAGACAGTTGCAGATTGAACCATATCTTCACAACGGATTTTGCTGAAATTTAGCATACACTTCAAGTTCAGGTGATTAGATGATAATACATTTTAGATCACTAATGACAGGTGTCAACTGTCAAATGTGACAGATGCAGATTTTTGAACCATTATTTCGCAATAGATTTTGCTGAAATTTTGCATACAGTTTAAGTTCGGATGATAATACAATTTGGAATACTCAACACTCAACAGCTGTCAAATGTAATTTTTGACAGCTGTCAAAATATGACAGGTCGAGAGGTGAACAGGTTGTCAGGACTACCCCCGTCTTTGAAAATTTGCTTTTTTCGACAAATGGACAAATTTCAAAAATAAATAACCCATAATTTTGCACACCGATTTTCAAAATTTGCACACTTTTCTAGGGAAAGTTATATCGTATCAAAAATTTGCATAACCCCACCCGTTTTTAAAAAAATTGATAGACCCCTATGCTACTCGTTTCATCTTATTTTTGGACAATTTTGCACACCTATTTTCAAATTTTGCACACTCTTCTGGGAAAAGTTATGAGGTGTGATAAATATGCACTTTTTTCCCCGTTTATCTGAAACTTGAAAAATTCTTATGCTACTCGCTTCGGCTAATTTTGCACACCTTATTTTTAATTTTACACATTCCTCTGGGAGTTGAATGTTGTATTAATTTGCACGTTTTCCCTTGTTTGTCAAAAAATTGAAAAACCCTTGCTACTGCGTTCACTCAATTTTGTACGTTTATTTTCAACCCGAATTGAGTAACATAAAAATTTTTAATTTTCTCAAAAAACCGGCGGAAAAGTGCACATTTTGCAAAATTTGAAAATAGTTGTGCAAAGTTGTGCAAAATTAGGTGAACCTAGTAGCATAAGGATTTTTCAACTTTTTGAAAAACGAGGGGGGGGGGAGAGTGGGGAAACAAGCATAGGATCTTTTAATTTTTCGACAAACGGGGGGGAAAGTGCAAATTTTTAATGCCTTAATAACTTTCCCCAGAAACGCAAAATTGGCCAAAGCGAGTAGCATAAGCGCAACTAGGCTCCAAATTTGAGGGGTGTTGCAGCACCATTTTTTGTGGGTTTGTACTTACGTCATCATTTGCCTTTTTTTTAAAAAAATTGATTTTTTTATGTCTGAAATTTCAAACAAACATATAGTTTGTTTCACGGCACGCAAGTTTTTACTTACGTCATCGATGACGTCATAACTTAGAGAAAAAGTTATGTCATAGATTAATTCATGGAGCACCTTCGGAATTATTGTTTTGTAATACATTTTTTAACTTAGAAGAGAATTTATTCAGTTATCCAAATATATATAAATAAAATTTCTCCTAGAGTGATTTTTCACTGTAAATTTTTGAAATTTTCCTTCTGCCAGTTTTCCAGAAAAAATTTAAAATTAAAAAAATTAATTTTGGTTAAAAGTTAGTTTTCCAGAATTTCTTCTGGAGTGATTTTTTACTGGAAAATTTTGAAATTTTTATACATACATATAATAAACTTCTCACTTTCCTCTTTCTCCTGTAAAAATTTCAAAATTTTTCTTCTGCTAGTTTTCCAAAAAAAAAAAAATTTGAGAGGATGAATTTTCCTTAATTTTACTTGAAAAAGTCGATTTTCCAAGTGATTTCTCACTGGAAAATTTCGAAATTTTCCTATAATGAGCTCCTTATTTTCTTCTTTCTCTTGGAAAAATTTCACAACTTTTGCTTTATTAGTTT